ATTCTTACCGATTAAACTTTGCTATTTGTACACTGATTTTGAAACCTTGTTCGACACTTGCATAGTTATCAAGTGTCAATTGGATGCTAAAATTGTTTGAAATTTAAACTATCCAGGAGAGTAATGTCAAGTGGCAATGTGTAATCTAAAGTGTACACCATAGTGTACATTTAGCAACATTCTTACCGATTGAACTTCGCTAGTTGTACATTAATTTTTGACACTTGCATTGTTGTCAAGTGTCAATTGGATCGAAAAACTGTTTGAAATTTAAACTCTCCAATAGGGTAATGTCACGTGTCAATGTGTAAACTAAAGTGTAAACCATAGTGTACATGTAGCAAGGTTCTTATTGATTGAACTTTGCTATTTGTACGCTGATATTCGACACGTTGTTTGACACTTGCAATGTTTTCAAGTGTCAATTGGATTGGAAAACTATTTGAAATTTAAAATGTCCAATAGGATAGTGTCGCGTGGCAAAGTTTAAATTGAAGTGTATGACATAGTGTACATGTAGCAAGGTCCTTTCCTAGTGAACTTTGCTATTTGTACACTGATTTTTGACACGTTGTCCGACACTTGCTTTGTTGTCAACTTTCAATTGGATTCGAAAATTGGTTGAAATTTAAATTGTCCAACAAGGTAATGTCCCGTGGCAAACTGTAAACTAAAGTGTACACCATAGTGTACATGTGGAGAGATTCTTATCGATTGAATTTTGCTATTTGTACACTGAATTTTAACATGTTGTTTCATACTTGCATTGTTGCCAAGCGTCAATTGGATGGGAAAATCATTTGAAATTTAAATTGTTCAACAGGATAATGTCACGTGGCGAATTGTAAACTAAAGTATACACCATAGCATACATGTGGCAAGGACCTTACCGATTGAACTTTGCTAGTTGTAAACACATTTTTTACACGTTGTTTGTCACCTGTATTGTTGTCAAGTGTCAACTAGGTGGGACAATAGTATGAAATTTAAACTTTCCAACCGGGTAGTGTCACGTGGCAAAATGTAAACTAAAGTGTACACCATAGTGTACATGTTGCAAGGTTCTTACTGATTGAACTCTGCTATTTATACACTGATTTTTGACACATTGTTTGACATTTGCATTGTTGTCAAAAGTCAATTGGATTGGAAAACTATTTGAAAATTAAACTATCCAACAGGGTAATGACACGTGGTAAAGTGTAAACTAAAGTGTGCACCATAGTGTACATGTCACAAGGTTCTTACCAATTGAACTTTGCTATTTGTACACTGATTTTTGACACGTTGTTTGACACTTGTATTGTTGTCAAGTGTCATTTGGATAGAAAAACTGTTTGAAATTTTCCTATAGGGTAATGTCACGTGGCAAATTGTAAACTAAAGTATACACCATGGTGTACATGTAGCAAGGTTCTTACCGATTTACTTTACTATTTGTACACTAATTTTTGACACGTTGTTTGACACTTGCATTGTTTTCAAGTGTCAATTGAATGGGAAAACTGCTTGGAATTTAAACTATCCAGTAGGGTAATGACACGTGGAAAAGTGTAAAATAAAGTGTACACCATAGCGTACATGTCGCAAAGTTCTTACCGATTGAACTTTGCTATTTGTACACTGATTTTAGACACGTTGTTTGACACTTATATTGTTGTCAAGTATCAATTGGATGGACAAACTGTTTGAAATTTATATTGTCCAACAGGGTAGTGTCATGTGGTAAAGTGTAAACTAAAGTGTGTACACCATAGTGTACATGTAGCAAGGATCTTACCGATTGAACTTTGCTATTTGTACACTGATTTCTGACACGTTGTTTCACACTCACACTATTGTCAAGTGTCAATTGGCCGAGAAAACTGTTTGAAATTTAAGCTGTCCAACAAGGTAATGTCACGTGGTAAAGTGTAAATTAAAGTGTACACGATAGTGTACATGTAGCAAGGTCCTTACTGATTGAACTATGCTAGTTGTACACTAATTTTTGACACGTTTTTTGACACTTGCACTGCTATCAAGTGTCAGTTCGATGGCAAAACTGATTAAAATTTAGGCTGTCCAACAGGGTAATGTCACATGGTAAAGTATAAGCTTAAGTGTACACCATAGTGTACATGTTGCGAGGTCCTTACCGATTGAACTTTGCTATTTGTACACTAATTTTTGGCACGTGGTTTGACACTTGCATTGTTGACAAATGTCAATTAGATGGGAAAAATATTTGAAATTTAAACTGTCCAACAGGGTAATGTCACATGGTAAAGTATAAGCTTAAGTGTACACCATAGTGTACATGTTGCGAGGTCCTTACCGATTGAACTTTGCTATTTGTATACTGATTTTCGACATGTTGTTTGACACTTGCACTGTTGTCAAGTGTCAATTGCAAGGCAAAACTGTTTGAAATTTAAACTGTCCAACAGAGTAATAACATGTGGCAAAGTTTAAACTAAAGTGTACACCATAGTGTACGTGTGGCAAGGTTCTTACCAATTGAACTTTGCTATTTGTACTTTGATTTTGGACAAGCTGTTTGACACTAGCATTGTTGTCAAGTGTCAATTGGATGAAAAACTGTTTGAAATTTAGACTGTCCGACAAGGTAATGTCACGTGGCAAAGAGTAAACTAAAGTGTACACCATAGTGTACTTGTAGCAAGGTTCTTATTGATTGAACTTTGCTATTTGTACACTGATTGAAGTATGATCGAAGTATTGCCAAGTATCAACTTTCAGGCGAAAAAGCTATGCTCGTGATTTTTAGTCTCTACGTGAGATCCATTAGTGACATAGTAAAAATCAGAATTTGAGGAAGTCTATTTCTATCAAAAGTGTAGATCTTTGAGTTTTCTTCCCAATGCACTTTGAATCACTTCAATTGGAGATCAGGAGAGAAAGTTATGACCAAAATACTAAAAGTTGTCCAGCGGAAAGAATGGTATAACTATGCGGTCGCATAGAAGCCTCCCGAGAATTTTTTCTCAAAATTTTTTTACTCTATGCGACAGCATAGAAATGTACTATGCGGTCGCATAGAACAAGATTCGGGGATGATTCAGCAGTTTCCTTATTTCGCCGAAACTCTTATGGAAATGAGATTTTTAGGGTTCTATATAAACTAAAACTCGACCAAAATGATGGGACGCCACTTTTACAGCAAAAGAGGGGGAGTATACACAATTTTGGAGGATTTGGAGAGGAAGAACAAGGTAAAAATAAGGCAATCCACTTCAAGATTCAAGATTTCACTTCAAGAATCAATTGGGTGATGTTCTTCCTTGATTTTAATTATTGCTTTTCTTTATTTCCCATTATGTTAGGCTAGATTTTCATGTGCTAAGATTTGCGATGAACCTTATATTATGAACCCTTAATCTTGAATTTTATGAATTTGACGTTAAAACATGTTTTTAATTATTGAATGATTGGCATGGATTTTATTTTCTCTACAATTAT